AGGGTGCAGGCTGGGCTGAGGGACCCCCCCGAGCACATGAATTTTCATGCACCAAGCCTCTAGAATATATAATGATATTTATATAAATTACACAAATTTATATAAAACTAGAGGCCCGATGCATGAAATTCATGCAAGAGTAGGCCTTCCTTCCCCAGCTGCCGGCACCCACTTCCCTCTGGCACCCAGGACCCAGGCTTCCCTCGCAGTCCTGGCTTCATCTGGAAAGTCATCTAAAAGAACATCTGGTCTAATTAGCATATTATGCTTTTATTATTATAGATTTATATTTTAGCTATATTCAAAAGAGATAAATTGACACCTTATTGCAGCGGTTCTCAACCAGTGGGTCGCAACCCCTTTTGGGGGTCAAACGACCCTTTCATAGGGGTCGCCTAAGACCGTCAGAAAACACATATATAATTACATATTGTTTTTGTGATTAATCACTATGCTTTAATTATGTTCAATTTGTAACAATGAAATTGGGGGTCACCACAACATGAGGAACTGTATTAAAGGGTCGTGGCATTAGGAAGGTTGAGAACCACTGCCTTATTGGTAAAGTGGAGGTAGGATTTTCTTTTTTTAATCTCAGATTTGGAAAGTTTTCATTTGAGGGCAATGTTTATTGTTAAGAAGTCTCCCCCTTATAATGAGCAAAATTTTCCATTCTCCCTCTGCCACCCCATAAATTGATAGATTTAAATACCAGAAGGTATGTCTACCTCAGAGGTCACAAAAGCAATACCTACTGGTGTCTGGCAGGTAATATGGGTGAGTGGAAAGGCCAGGCATCAAACAATAGCTAATGTTGGGAGTGTGCTGACCTGGAGAATGCTTCCCCTATCAAAAGAAATTCAAATTCAAATTGATAATTAGTGTGTTGGCCAAACAAAATATCCTCAGATTTCACCTGAATCCCTGGGTTAGAAGATTTCTAAGATTAACAGATGTTAAATGACTTGCCCCAAACCCACTATCCATCAATAGAAATAAGTACAATGAAGATATTCAATTCTAGAAGCAATTAACTGTCTTATCTGACAACATAACCTGATTCAAATGCTGAGGGGTCCAAATCTGTCTTCCATTCAAGTGGTTCTACAAAAACATATTTTGCCTCTTGGGGATATTTATAGATAAAACTCTCCACAAACATAATAATTTCTTTCAATATCGCTTCATTTAGAGGAGTACTTTCCAGGGCTCTGGTTCCATATCCAGCAGCAGTCCACTGCACTAATCTTGCCAGAGCCACGCCCATGAGTCCAACAACCCTCGCTGAGCGTAGCACACACTACATCAGAGTAGAAAGAGTTAGAACACGACAACAGCATCTACGTTTTCACTGGACATTGTTTCATTTTCAATATTTTAAACTAGTACTATCTGACTCACATTCTGTTGAATCATCATAGAGGTTGATTTTTTTAACCGGCTTTAAGTAAAACTGACTACTACCTAAGGATTTTCCAATCTCTGTCTGCCCTGAAATGAATACTTTTCTCATTTCCCTGGGCCTAAACGGAAACAGAAAACTCCAAAGTTGAAAAAACAACTGGCCTTTGATTTGCAGTTCGGTTGGGGCTGAAGGTAAAGTGAGCAACACTCTTTTGAGCTAAGCTATCCATTATTTAGAATTATTCTATTACTAGTTATTCTATTATCCTGACTTTCTTATAGTCATTACATCTGCAACAGTGCAATGATGACTGGTGAACATGATTCTGGAAGCTCTGAGAGTCACTCAAGTGCCTCCTGAATCAATTGAAAATAGAATAAGAACATTATTGTAACATGTAATTTTAATTTTCTCTAAAAATTTGTATACCACATATTGATCCTATAAACCAGAATATTTGAGCAATCAAAATACTGTATTCTCTGCCCATATTTCCTGCCCAGAATGTTATATTGTAATTTATAACTTCATTAAGAGCAAATGTGAGAGATGTAAGAACAAAAGAGAATCTTTTTAGGCTGTTTATCAAAATTGGTTATTAAAAAAAGTCTAGCATTAAAATTTAAGACAGAAATTCAAATTAAATAAATTTCACTATGGCTAAATTTGTCTTTAAAAGAATATTTTTAGAAAGATATCATTTTCTGTAACATGAAATAAGAACCAAGTTAGAAAGCAAGGTCTGGCATTAATTCATAATGGTTATTTATGATACATACCATATTAATAAAAAGATTATATTTTTTCAGATAATCTATACTTGCTTGTTTCCCCACTTGTAATAACACAGCTCATTAAAATATTCCAGGATATTAGAAGAATGGTTATAAAAGTTAAATATAGAATATAATTAGCATTTTCCTCACATCATTATTACAAAAGCAGAGGTAACAAAATTCTACAAAAATGAGTTGGGGATTTTATTTTCTGTAAATCTTGAAATTCAGTAACAGGGACATCTAGATGAGTGGTTCTCATGGGGCAATACTGCCTGCTGAGTAGCAGTACAGAAGTATTGTACAGACCATTCATCACCAATAGGAGAGGATGAGGACATCACTGGCATTTAGTGATGAGAGTCAAGAATGTAGATGTCCTGCAATATGCAAGACAGTCCCCCAGAGGGAAGAATGCTGCTGCAATCTCCAAGCATCCAGTAGATGAAAAACTTCAGATCACAAAGTATTTTTTCACAGTTTTAATATACGCTGGATTTTCCAGGATTGCAACTATCATATAAATCTAAAGGGAGGTCATACATACTTCGTGTTACATGGAATTTTACCAAGAGCTCAGCATTTTGGAAATCACACCATTGATGACTACACTAGTCACACAAATTAAGTTTCAAAGACATGTCTGTATCAATTTGCACTTGGAGCTACTACATTGACAGTAATTCTATATAAGGCTGGAACATCTGACTACATTATTTATGCCAATATTTTATAATTATTTTTCTTTTAATTCTTTTTTATAATATAGTTAAGGTAGTATAGATATTTTAAACTATGCACATATATAGGATTATTATCTATCAGACTGATTTCAGAATAGCAAAGCAGACATTACAACATATTTGCTATAAAAACTGAGTATCACATCAGATAGTGCTAAGACATATAATATGTATATATATACATATTTACGTACATGTATATATAAAAGTGCTAGTAGAATAAAATGTATACAATGAGGGTACAAATTTATGCATTTGCTTTAGTATTCCAGGGTATTGTTTCTACTGGGAAATTCTGAACACAGAGGCATGAACTGACATGAATGTGTGACACTCCTAAGTTTCCCAGTATTGTGAGAATCAGTGCAAACCACGAATAAGTGCAAATAGGTTTATCTTACACAGAAAGGCTTAGATGGACAGTTCTGTTTGTTTTCCATTTTAAGCATAACACTTGTTTTGTGGTCCTATAAAGCAATAGTGTGTGTATCATTTCCTCCTTGTACCTTTTTCAAGAAAAATGTGAAATTACATAGATTGCATAATGCTGTGGCAGTCAACATACCATATAGCAACTTCCTGGAAGATACTTAAAGATCTAAGAAATGTAAAAAAAAGGTCTTTCATCCTGATAAATTTTTATAGAAATGTAAGTGTAACATATTTAAATCTCTTTAAATTGTTTTTCTGAATCTAGTAAACCCAGAGCTGCAGCAGTGGATAGGCTTGATTGAAGAAGATTGGTTAGCAAAGGCCTAAGAAAATCTCAGGGGAGCTATGACCATCCTAAGTTAGAGGAGATCTATAAAAGGTCTTCTTTTAAAAAAGTGAAGTGCTTTGCAGGCCTAACTGAATGAGTTTTTAAAAGAAAACGGGATAATATGGTGTTTGTTTGTTTTTTCATTTAAGAAATTTCTGATGGCTTCTTAATTTAACAAGAGAACCAAAACTATAGCACTTGTTCAACTAAGTCCAGTGGTGTTCAAAAATAATAGGTATAACTCAGCAAAATACAGAAACTAACAGTTTTTATCAAGACAGGCTGCTCCCCAGTTACTACCCATCGCCAGTCCACGTGTTCTTCTAGCCTAAGCACCATGGTTAAAATGAGTGCATGTGAATACATAGTATAGATCTTTGAATTAAAGTAAGATGTTAAAGGCGTTTAACAAGCCCTACCGGTTTGGCTCAGTGGATAGAGCATCGGCCTGCGGACTGAAAGGTCCCAGGTTCAATTCCGGTCAAGGGCATGTACCTTGGTTGAGGGCATGTCCCCAGTAGGGGATGTGCAGCTGATCGGTGTTTCTCTCTCATCGATGTTTCTAGCTCTCTATCCCTTTCCTTTCCTCTCTGTAAAAAAAAAAAAAAAAAAAAAAAAAAGGCGTTTAACAACTAAAAAGATAAAAGTTTCTAAGCATATGTGTTTCTATACACTGAAAAACACTTTGCACTTATTTTCCTTATTATTGAATAGGTATGATTTGTTTTCCAAAGGGTCAGTTACAAACTTCCAGTATCTGTAATAATAAAAGCATAATATGCTAATTAGACCGGACAGCCAAACGACCTTTCGGACATCATTCCAGAGGAAACCATGGTGGCCAGGGCTGAGGCAGAGGCCATTAGGGGCAATGAGGCAAGTAGGAGAGCAGTTAAGGACGATCAGGCAGGCAGACAGATGGTTAGGGGCAATGAGGCAGGCAGGTGAGCGGTTAGGAGCTAGCAGTCCCAGATTGCGAGAAGGATGTCCGACTGCCAGTTTATCGGGCCTAAACTGTCAGTCGGACATCCCCCAAGGGGTCCTGGATTACAAGAGGGTGCAGACCGGGCTGAGGGACAGCCCCCCCACACACACACACACACAAATTTCCTGCACCAGGCCTCTAGTCACTAACAAAATGAAACCGATTCATGTATAATTTCTGTAACACCTGAGCAGAAGCAAAACTGAATTCTTTATGAGGCTATGGTAATGCAAGCATCTACTCCAAGATCTAGAAATGTGGCTGGTGACATTGATTGGGATTCAGTGCATATACCAACATTCTGAGAATTATAAAGCTATTCAATGAGACCTACAGAAAAGTTGAAATTTCAGAACTGACGTTAATGGCGTTTGAGTTGGAGAATAAGTTTCCAAGGGTGAGAGGGTGCAGGGGACAGGCAGGAAGGGGCAGGCAAGGAAGACAGACTAGAACAGCGGTTCTCAACCTGTGGGTCTCGACCCCTTTGGCCATCGAACGACCTTTTCACAGGGGTCGCCTAAGACCACCCTGCATATCAGATATTCACATTACGATTCATAACAGTAGCAACATTACAGTTATGAAGTAGCAACGAAAATAATTTTATGGTTAGGTCACAACATGAGGAACTGTATTTAAAGGGCCAGAAGGTTGAGAACCACAGGTCTAGAAAGGAGGAGGAGGCAAAGCTGCAAGGGCCAAGGAGAAAGGTGAAGGAGGCAAGAGAGGCCAGACTCGTAGAGACAGCAGATAAGGAGAGGGAGGTCGCAGGAGGTCCCAGGGCCCCTACAAACTCCGGATCCGCGAGAGGCCGGGGTTGGATGGGCAAGATAGCGAGAAGGGAGGGCGGCTCTTGAGCTGAGGAGAGAACGGGGAGACGGCTAGAGGGACTGAAACGGGGCTCTTTTTTCGACAGCTGTAAACACGCCAGCGCGGGCCACCAGCCCGGCCCGGGAAAGTTGGCGCCGGACAGGGGTGGGCTTCAGGCAGCGCCCCGCACCCAGGCCCCGCACTCACCTGCAGCGCCCACGGTGCGCGCCGGCCGGTTGCTAGGACACGAGGTAAACTTCCGGCGCCCGCCTGCGCGCAGTTTCCCCGCCCACCGCCCCCGAGGGGAGCCTGGAGCCCGCCCCGCCCTGCCCCGGGGCGCCCTGCCCAGGCTGTGACCCGGCTCCTGGGGTTCGCTCCCTGGGTCCTCTCCCTGGGTCCGCTCCCAGGCCACGGTCTTTTTCCGCCTCCTTCCTCGTGAACTCTCCTGACTCACTTCACCTGGTGGGATATGGTTAACTTAAGGTCCCGGGCAGTTAGGGGTTTTAGCAGCAACTTAACAATACAACAACAAAAAAGAAAATATTCCTTAGAAACGCCGTTTGGTGTTTCTCCACAGACTTCCAGACAGCTGTTTTGTGGAGTTCTACGGAAATCTAAATTGAGTTCTCCAAAAGAGCACAGGGTAGCTGCGGCTCTGGAAGCAACTGTGGTAGAATACTCTAACCTTCTGGAAAAGCAGAGGCTGCTTTTCAGTAGCCTACTCCAGAGAACGGGAGTGAAATGAGAACATTTCTCCATATTTTTTAGTACCTTTTACCTTTGTAACC